TGTAGTTTTTGGGTCTTTTTTTTTTTTTTTTTCTTTTTCTTTTCCCTAGCACTCAAACCTCCATTCCTCAAATATTGCTCCCTCAGGCTTGACCAGCCTGACCAAGGAAGTCAGGGGCCCTGCTAGCCCAAGAAGGAAACTGAAATCCCTTCGCCAGGGGTGAGCAAACCCGTGGCCCGCAGGCCAGGTCTGACCCCCTGCTTGTTTTTGCACAGCCCGTGAGCGGAGAATGGTTCTTGCGGTTTTAGATGGTTGAAAACTATTTTTTAAGAATATTTCTTGACATGTGAAATGTTCAGTGTCAAAGATAAACAGCTGCACCCATTCATTTACACGTTGTCTATGGCTGTTCGCCTAAAACAGCCGCAGGGTTTGAGTACCTATGACCTTTCGGCCCGCAAAGCCTTAAAATACTTCCTGTCTGGCTCTTTACAAAAAAAGTTTGCCAACGCCTGATCTAGTTCATCGCCCAGATTTAACAGATGAGAAAAATTAAGGTTCAAGTAGGAGAAGTGACCTGTCCAGGGGTACACAGCTCATCAGAAGCTGGTCTGGGGGGCATCTTCCCATGCCCACCCCATGTTCTTCCCACCGTAGCCTAGGGCCTGCCCTAACGTGAGCCCTCCGTGACCACTCGCTGCAGAGGCCAAAGCAGCTTGTGAAAGGAGGGTAAATAGGACACAGGGACATGCAAAGTCTATGATGTCTTGGAATTTCAATTTTCACTCAAAATCTAGAGTCAGGAAATATCTTAAGCCTACAGTGCATTTGAACTACCCAAGTAGGCAGAAAGATGTCCTCGTATTTCTCTAGAGTAATTGATTACATCCTGTGCTCAGCACCAGGACCTGGTCCCTGCCGGCCGGGGGTGGGGGGTGGGGGGTGTCAGAATCTCATTTCAGGAAAAATAATTTGTGGTCTCCATCCAAGTTTGCACTCAGGAGCAGTTTCAGAAAATTACAAAAGCCTGTTGGGTGGAACTCAGGTCTCCTGTACAGGGGCCGAGAGGAAAACCCACCCCTGGACGCTGACCTTTCTAGAAGTGAGGTCGCTCCTACGGCCTAGTGCAGGTTCTTCTGCGTTCCTCCCCGCGTGGAGACGGCTGGCTGACCCGCATGGGGTTCTTGGCTTGGAATTTTCAGATGTCCCAGAGGCCAAGCTCGACGAGAGTTGGCGAGGAATAACTCTGAAGTGGGGTCTTCTGGTACCTGCGCTCTTGTCAGCATCTTGTCCGTTCTCTCCTCTGCCTTTGCAGTGGGTCCCACCTACACCTTCGTAGGCAGCTTCTCAAACTTCCCAGCCATCGGTTGAAACCTCTGCTTGAGAGCCTTCTGTCGCTCTTCCAGCCAGGTGTGCACCTGAGAGGACTAGCGGGGTGTTGGCTTCTCCTCCGTCGCCTCACCCGGAGGAGCAGACCCCTTCCCTCTCCTCCCAGAGGGGACCTCCGGCGTCCTGGGGAGGGGAACACAGCAGAGTCTCTGACTTCACTGACCGCCCTTGGCACCTCCCCTGTCGGTCATTCCAGTCCCCCTGAGTGAGGGCAGTTAGCTGGGTTCCCCCTGCTTGGGGGCAGGCGTCCCAGGGCTGCTCTCTGCAGGTCGTATCCTGCAGTCTGGCTGCCCATCTGGCTCTGCACGCAGCATCGTAGGTGGGCGCAAGCTGGGCCCCCTCAGCAGCACCCACCCAGCCCGTGGAAACTCATGCCTCCTTACTGCGCCGGGCCGTGGCTGTGCTGCGTGCCCCCTGTGTCTGCTAGGCCCATCCTGTCCTGCCATGCGTGTTCCTCACCCTGTTCCTCAGAGGCACCACTCTTCTGCATTGGTGACCCTTTCTCCCCACACCCTTCCTATCTGCACACCTGGCAGGCCTCTACTCATCGCTCAGGTCCTACCACAAACGCCCCTTCATTGAAGAATCTGACCCTGCTCTTCGGTGTGACACATGGATTTGAGCCCCCCTGTTAATTATTTTTAGAAAACCTTCTTCCTTCCTTTCATGACACTGATCACAACGATAATCGTATAGTAATTTGAGGCATTATCTGCTTGGCTCCGGTGGACTGTCGTTTCCTTAGGAGAGGAAGCACGTCCGTCTGGTTCCCCAGCGCAGGGCCTGGTGTGGAGTGGACCTCACTATGCATGAGTAAATGCATGACAGACAAGTGGAATGCTGCAGTCACATACCGTACAGCAAGCATTGATTCATCAATGAGGAAAAGTGTTTGTAGAACACTGGAGACTCAGCTCAAATGCAACATCCACTCAGGAAACTCTAGATTTTCTAGCTCATACACCCGGTGATCCCGCACATCTCCTCTTGGAGACCTGGGGATCTTGGATGACAAGCACCTGGTTCTCTCTTCAGGCAGTGTGCACGCGGGACAAAAAAGAGTGCACTCGCCAGTGTTGCCTTATTCTACCCGCCAAGGTAGAGTTCGCGTTTGGCTATCACTCAAATCCTTCTCAACTCTTGATAGCGTATTATCGTAAAGTGATAGAACACGTTACATTAAAATCGTATTGTATGGACACTAGGCGAAATGAAGCTGAGTCAAGATAAGCAGAAGCATCAAATTCAATCTGCTTTTGTCCAGTGAGACTTCAGTTTGCCACGTGAGTCCAATCAACTCAGCAAATATTTACTGAGGACCTGCCAGGTGCCAGGGACACGGGCCAGCTGCTGAGAATACAAAGCTAAAGGATGTGGGTCCTGTCCATCCTCCAGGACTAGGCTCAGGCCCGGTTCCGCTTTTGCTCTCCAGCTCGACCTAGCTCCCTCCTTCCTTCCCCCCTCCCTCCCTCCTTCCCACCCTTTCCCCCTGTGTTTTCAAGTACATCCATCCAAGGAGTCTGTTTCCAACAGCTTGGGAAACAGCGAGCCAAGAATAGTTTGTAATGGAATGGACTCATGTGAATGGCAGTCGTCTGCGTGTCACGGGGGCTTCCAGGCTGGGTCCCCGGCGTACCTTGGGACAGTCCTGGCTGCTGCACGTGGGCTGCAGAGATGCACTTGAAGCTGAAATGTAAAGATTGTATGTTGTCCCCTGTCCAGGACCTCTCTTCTCTTCGTACCCTTAGGTGCGCTGCATAACTTTAAGAGCTGCGAGTACTCAGAACAGTTGGCTTTTTATAGGAAACCCTCATCTGTGTGTCCTGTGCTGCTGTACCGTTGGGAGCCTGGGCTATCCCGTGTGGTTTCCTTGGAAGCAGGTGGAGCTTCCGAGGACCCGGGTTGTCTCCCCCTGGGCTCTGCTCAGTCCCCACCCTCCTGTGTGCTCCGGCTCTCCGGGGGCTGTTGAAGAAGCAGAGGGTTCATGTAACTGCCTTCCTCTGCCCTCTCCCTATTTTCAAGTCCAAAAAGCAGAAGAAACATCATTTTTCCCTGCAGCAGTAGGCCCCCTCCTGGAGGAACCGGGAAGGGCAGACTCAGGATGCAACCTCCAGGCCCCCAGAGACCTTGCACCGGGGAGCCACAGCCTAAGCAAGATAGTAATTAAACGTCCTGTCACTACCATGCAGGGCATGGAATCCAAGGGGGGCTTTCCCCTGGTGCACGGATTCACTTGTGGTGTCTTTCTATGGACGTTCGAGAAAGTGCTTCATTTAAGGAGCGGGGTAGCCCGAAAGTAAAACCAGCAGGATCAACCCAGGACACTGAGTGGACATTTAAATCACATCATCATCCTATTTAAATTGACTTCAATTTGACCCAAGTCGAGAACCTTCTCTTCCTGGGGCGCTTCTGTAGGTTTCTAGTGTCTTCCCATCCAACACTTGAGGTGTGACTCCCAAGGAACCAAATAAAGAATGGTTCTAGGGGGACCCCTGGATGGCTCAGCAGTTTAGCACCTGCCTTTGTCCCAGGCCGTGGTCCTGGAGTCCTGGGATCGAGTCCCGCATCGGGCTCCCTGTGTGGAGCCTGCTTCTCCCTCTGCCTGTGTCTCTGCCTCTCTCTCTGTCTCTTTCTCTCTCTCTCTCTCTCTCTGTCTCTCATGAATAAATAAATAAAATCTTAAAAAAAATAAAATAAAAAAAAGAATGGTCCTAAAACTTTGAATTAACAAGGTGCTCAGGGAAATTCATCTTCATTTTATTTTATTTTTTTCATCTTCATTTTAAAAACGAAGTTAAGAGAGTTCTCGAAGCTGGAAAAAACCTTAGAGCCTACGTAAGCCGTCCCTGTGTTGTGTGCACGGAGAAGGCTAAGATTCTGATGAGATCCTGAGACTAGTGTTCTGTGGGTCTCCTGGTTCTCGTCAGTTGGGTTCGTTCGTCCCTGATTATTATCCAAGAAAAAACTCCCACTAACTGGAACTAAAGCGTGGTTAGAGAAAGCACTTTGGTTTTTGTTACTCCCTGTCACAGAATGACGCGTGTGCACGTGTATGCGTGTGTGTATGCGTGTGTGCATGCGTGTTCACTTCAGCCGCACTGCTAACCTGAGGCCTAGAGTGCCTGAGAGCAGGGAAGTGCCCCTGCTGACCTTGACACACACCCCCCCCCCCCCCCCCCCGTGGCAGGTGGAAGAGGTGGAGGCCCAGCGAGGGCGCATGGGCTCCCGGGTCCACAGCTCCCCTCTTCAGAGCTACCTTTTCTGGGACCCCAGGCTTCCTCCAAATAGTGCCACTCCTGCTGCTTAGGAAGTATCCTTGCAGGGTTACTGAGAACAAATTTACTTAAGAAACATGCAAACTGGGGCACCTGCCTTCAGCTCAGTGGCAAGATCCAGGGGTCCTGGGGTCGAGTCTCGCATCCCGCTCTCCATGGGGAGCCTGCTTCTCCCTCTGCCTGTGTCTCTGCCTCTCCCTGTGTCTCTCATGAGTAAATAATTAAATTCTATTAAAAAAATACAAACTAAAAAATACAATAATCTGTAGGTGAAGTTATCAAATGTTCCTTCGGGCTTGGGGCGGGGGCACTTTCTGGCCTCCCTTCTTCTGCAGCCTTCAGAAAGGAGCCCTACGTCTCCATGTGCTTTCCTTTTCTTCTTCCAAACCCCAGCATATAAATAACGACCATATTCACGGCGAGAAGAAGGAGTTCGTGTGCCGGTGGATGGATTGCTCGAGGGAGCAGAAGCCCTTCAAAGCCCAGTACATGCTGGTGGTGCACATGAGGAGACACACCGGGGAGAAACCTCACAAATGCACTGTGAGTGTGCGGCGCAGGCTGTGGGCCCGGGGCTCCCGGGAGCCAGCACCTGTCCAGTTGGGGTTCAGGTTCCCCCAGCTTCTGCACACTGTGCTGATGGACCCAGCCGAGGGGGACCCGGCCAGAAGGTGGGCGGGCGGGGGGGGCAGGTAGGGGGTGGTCTGTGATGAATGCGGGGGGTTCTGAGAAGGGGGATTTCTGGAATGGGGGGAAATCCTGGTGCAGAAGGACCACTGACAGCCACACCTGGGGCGGACAGAAGAAGCGCCGGACCTGCACCGTCCAGCAGGGGAGCTGTGAGCCCCTTGTGCCCCTTGGGGGCTTTCAGGTCCTGGCCAAAGCAGCCAAGGCACTGATTTTTTCCATTTAATTTCTTTTTTTAAAATGTAATCATCAATAGCCTCTGGTGGCAAGTAGCTCCCACACTGGAAAGCGGAGTGGCCAGCGGCGGCCAGGGCGCACCGACAGGCCCTGGGAAGGAGCGCATGGCTACCTGCCCCAGCACAAGGGCCCATCACGCCCCAGGGCTCACAGGGCGAGGGGGGTGCCAGCTTTGACTTGAAACACTTAAGTCTATTGAAAAATAGAACCCGCATGACTTCAGGGTTTTTCTTTGCCTTCCCCCTGGGTCCCCATGGCCGGGTAGAGACCCACAAGACCCCAGGACTAAGCCTGGTGGCGCAGTGGCCACTGCTCAGCCCTGTACTTTACATCTTAAAGGCCCTTTACAAACGCGATCAAATTCCATGCCTTTGTATGGCCACAAACCCATATTAGTGAACTTTGTGCTGAATCTAAAATCAGTGGGAATTTGAGGAGATCAATGAGCAGATAATGAAACCCATTGTCCACATTGAGTGGTCTATTAAAAAAAAAAAAAAAAGAAAGAAAGAAAAAGGCCTCCAGGACTTTTTCCTAGCCCTGAAAACGCTGTCTCTTGAACTAAATGCAGAGTTTAGTGGACTTTTGTTCCTCGGTTTTGAAAAGCTGCTGACCCTCGAAATGTCAGTCTTTCATCAACGTTGAGGGAGCGCTAGGCATGAGCCGGGATTGTGTGGAATAATGCAGATTCTCCTGTTTTCCTCAGTTTGAAGGTTGTACAAAGGCCTACTCGAGACTAGAAAACTTGAAAACGCACTTGAGATCTCACACTGGAGAGAAGCCGTACGTCTGTGAGCACGAAGGTTGTAACAAGGCTTTCTCAAATGCCTCTGATCGCGCCAAGCACCAAAACAGGACGCATTCCAATGAGGTGAGGCTCGTCCACGAGACTAGAGACCGGGCCCAGAGCTCAGGGCAGAGACAAAGAGCCCTGGCGGCCCCGCATGAGGAAGCAAGGCCCATCCCGTTTCACTTCCTCTTGGCCATTCCCAGCGTGAGTGGGGCTCTGGGGCTGCAGGTGAAGGCCGGAGCCTCAGAGGTGGGGCCGCCTGAACGTGGGCCTGGTCTGGTGAGCAGTGCAGACCCCGGGGGAGCTTCCCGCCCCCGGTGAACAAGTCTCACGTTGATCAGAACTGCCACCTACTGGCCGAGCGGTGGGAGCGTTGAGCTTCTGCATTTCACCCACTGGCTCTGCCTGGAATGGCGGGAATCCACGCAGGGGATGACCGACCCCGTAAGCAGCGAGGGTAGATCAGAAGTTACGTGCTGACAGCTGACGGCTTACTGCTAAGACGGCCACTTCTGCCTGCCTTCCCCAGGTGCTGTCTTCAAATGCATTTATCCAAAAAGACTTTTACGGGGCAACCAGCCTGGGCTAAGCAGGATTTCCAGACATTCTGAATTCCGAAGGATCTTGGGAGCCATCCTCGGAAATCCAGAATGGTTTCTAGTCAGCCGTTTTAAGATGGCGCACTCAGTAAGGCTTCAGGGTTCTTGGGTGGTTCCTGCTGGGTTGCTGTTACTTGTAGATAGCTATCCGCCCAGAATTTCAGAGAGGCATGGAGATGACAATGATCTCAATGACAAATTATTTTTGCCCGTGTCTTCATGCACGCCTGCCTGCAGACTCCTCTCGGAAGGCCTAGCTCAAGCGCGGTCTTCTCAGTGAAGCCTTGCCTCGAACGAATCCAGAGGTGACCAAAAAAAAGATCCCCGCACTTTGCGTAGTGACGGGGTGTTTAGCCAGAATTGGTTAACGTGAGACATAGTTGTGCCCCCACTAAGTAGCTCGTCTGTTTGCTTGACATGTGTGAGACGAGGAGCCTTTGACGTGGCGCAGCAGCTCAGGAACCGTTGGTTTCAGCGTCCTCACCAGGTGTCCCTTCAGCTTAAGAGGCCGAGCGAAAACATCTCGAATGGGATGAACCACACTTTCTTAAAAATACACTCACACTTCAGCTGACATGCGCAGGTTCACACGCACAGACTGGTACGCCAGGGTCATGGCAGGAAAAGGAGACTTACGTCCTTTGGGATCTCTTATTATTAATCAACCGTTTGAGGATGCTTTAGGGGAGGTGCCACATCTCCATTTTTTTTTAATGTCAAAGATGCCTTTGCTACGTGCAGTGGTTGCAGGGTCATCCGTTATCTGTTACACTTGTTCTGTGCAAAGTTTTAGGGAGTCTAGGCAAAACCCATAACGATAGAAAGGAGATTAGTGATTGCCGGAGGCTGAGGGAGGGGAATAGGGGTGACTGCAAATCGGTACAGGATTTCTTTGGGGGACGTTGGAAATATTCTGGAGTTTGATTGATGGTGGTGACAGCTGCACAAGATTGTGGATGAACTACATGCCACTGAATTGTGCAATTTAAAAGGGTTATTTTTATGGCATGTGAGTTGTATCTCAGTTTAAGATGTTTTAGGGGATTCGATTAAGTAAGAATTAAATTAATGTATTTAATTGCAGATATTTCAGTACAATTAGGACTAGAAATTTAGAAGGCAGGCACTCCCATAGATTTTTAGGCTCGGTTTTCCTCCTGCAATTGCGGAGAAATTCGGGTGCGAGTGTGTTAGGATTAGCAGTGCACATATACAAACACACTTCCCCAGCCTTTTATCTTTTTTTATGGACTTAAAGTATGTGCACAGCTGTTTGCTTTGCTTAAATGCATTCGAGGTGAGCTTGTCCACTTCCGTGAGGTAGGAAGTTACAATGTGAGAATTTATCCATTATGAGATTGAACGATGCCCTGTTCAGTCAGATCCTTCGCCAGGGTTGAGCAGTGTATCTAAAATAAATTAACCTTGACCACGCAAGGCTTTGGCCTTCTGTACGAATGATGGACAATTTCACATCCACCAAAATCAAGAATCTAGATTTGTGCCAGGAACCGATCCCAGAGACATCTAGGTATCTTCTTTTGTTAGTTTGCTCTCTTCTTTGTACTTTCGTTCATTCCCTAAACAAACACTGAGAGCTGGTTAGGTGGCACACGCTTTGCTGTTGTGGGTGCGGAACAGGATACCAGGGACTGGAGCAGGAGGGGCGTCGTTCCCGTTCAGGTAGCCAGTCTGGCAGTCCTCCTGCACCCTCAGGCCGCCTCACCCATTTGGGGCCATAGCAGTGGCCTCTGCCAAGCATCCCGACTCTAGTCCATGCAGCTCATGTCTTCCCAAAGCCACACTAGGCAGGTATCCTTGGGCTCTGACTCGGTTGTATCTCCCCCTCCAGAACCTTCCAGTGGCTCCCTTTTTCCTAGAGGGAAGGAAAGTTTAGACTTTCCAGACTCATACCTGCTGTCAGCCGGCCCATGCCTGCCCTTCCAGGTGTGACCTCTTATTTGGTGATTATGCCTGGCACTGGGCAGCCATGCCCACATGCACGAAGCGGTCCTGCCTCTGGACCTTGGCTTTTCTTTTGGCCCCCTCTAGCCTTCAGTTTTTATCCCTCAGAATCCTGTTCTTTCAGAACCCAACTACAGTGCCTCCTCCTAATAAAGTTCTGCTCGCTGAGTAATTACTCTGTGCCACACATCGTGGTGCACATTCCATATCTTGTCTTCTTTAGCCTTTAACCGTGACCCCACGAGCCAGGCCTTTTATACCAAGATATAGAAACTCAGTAACCGATGCCTCCCATAATCATCCCAACTAAAAAATGATTGCCCTCCACCCACATCCTTCTGTGGCATTCATACTTGGTACTGGTGATAATTGCATGCTGTCTTATTTTTCCTGCATATTTTACATCCCTGGACACCACATCCTACCGTAAATAAGTTTATGTTCTCAGAGTCTTGCACACAGTGAGGACCATCGAACGTTTATTGAGAAATTTAGTTGGATAAATGCTACAAAGTCAAGTAAAAAAAGGTAGCGATTGCTTTCACCAAGTACCTTTCAGTACAGTGAGTCAAGAAAGGAAAGAAGCATGGCGGGCATTGACCATCCAGGACAGGAGACCCAGGTAACCCATTAAGACAACATTTCTCCCCGCCTACAGTTATATTTCACTTCAGTCATTGATCACCACAGAGTTTGGGAGCCAAGCTACGTAATTAGATGTGTTTTGTTGTAACACATAGGTTTCCGAATTCTGGGTTCTTACGGATTGTTGTAAGCGGAGAAGGTACCAGGGCACATGGCTACACATGCACTTGTGTGTTTTGCTGCTCCTGGAAATACAGGAGCTGAGGCACACCTGTAGACTTGCCACCTCCAACCGCGTCCTCCTTTCGAAGCTAACCCACTCCACGCGCGTGCATATGCTTCTGGGAAGAGTAGGTCCTCAGACACGTAACGTTGGCCTGGCTTCGTGCTCTCTCCCCACCCCCCTCCCTGACACCTGCACCATCCATCCCGGCTTGGCCGCTGATGGAGCTTCCTGTCCTGCTAGTGCAGGCGTGACGTAGGGCCGATGTCAGAACGCCGTGAGGTAATAGCAGTGATCGCTGGAGCCACTCTTCTGTCCCTAATGCATAGAAGTCGATGTGCTCGTTTATTATATATGTGCTGCAAATCGCACCAGCCCCTGAATAGAAGTAATTCATGGTTAATGGGAATCAATTCTACCCAAAAGAATCTCAAATTTGGAGGTGAAGTCTCTCGGGATAATTTTCGGAGTCTTCACTACATTAGGACATTTCATCATTTTCTGTGGCACTCAGTCTGTTCTTGGGCTTTTAGTGAAAAAGCTTCTTTTAGACACATACATTCTATAAGGCAGGGCATCTTTTTTAATATAATGGGTACATTATACTAATGATGCTTTTTAGGACTATCGCTTACCTAATAGCTCATCTTCTGGTATACATAGATATATATTCTTGTAAGGATTCATGAATATATTATATTTCAAGCCAGGTAAACAAAATCACAATTTTGATGTTGGTCATGAGTAAATGCCATGGCTTCTGTGATATGAGTAAATAATTCAGCTATAAGCATCCATGTAGTTTTTAATGACTGCATTTCTAGGTTTGATCAGTGGCCCACATAGAAAAACATGGAATAATTTACAGGCCTGAGTACTCCGGAGCAGAGCCAGACAGGAATCCTCGTTTCTAGGACACCATCCATCAGCGCTTCTCAACTTATGAATGAGCATTTATAGACGGTCTAATGGGGCTTTACAACTTTGAGAATCAGAAAGGTTCTGGATATTCTGAGCCCCAGACATCCCACACAGCTGTAATGCTGCCCAAATGGACATAGTTTAGTGATAATCTCGCACGGAAGAAGCTATAGGCAATTTTTTTTTTTTTACTACACTTACATGCAGAGAGCACATTTTCAAAAAAAGGCGTAGTGAGTTTTAATCTGAGAACCAGAACATCCCTAAGAAATTTCTTCACACAAACTCTCCCAAAGGCATATAGCATTCTGATCGGTGATGGGTGGCGAAGCCTTCTTGTCACCATCGCCATCACCATCGTCTTCACCCACATCTTCCAATACCTATTTGAGTAGCTACCACAACAGCAGGATCCTTCTTCCTACTCATAGGATAAATGTTTCTGAGAACACGCAGGCAGTTTGGGCATTTGTAACTCTCTTTGAGCACTCTCTAAAATAAGGGGTGCATGAGTGGTTCAGTCCGCTAAATATCTGCCTTCGGCTCAGGTCATGATCCTGGGATCCAGAAAAGCCCACTTCGGGCTCCCTGCTCAGCTCCCTGCTTCCTCCTCTCTTGTTTCCCCTGTGTGTGCTCCCTCTCTGTCAAGTAAATAAATTAAATCTTTAGAAAATATATAACATAATAGTCTATTAAAGCTAGATTCACTGGCCCCTGAATGGTGTTCAAATGGCCTTTATTAAACCCTTGGGACTTAGAGGTATCTGAACGCCTCGTGGAAGGGCTTTGAAAGAATTAAAGATACGATGTGCATCCACAAGAGCGATGGGCTGGGGCATCAGCAACCACTTCGGTAACAGTCTCTTTATTTCATTCTTGTGTTTTTTGGCAGAAACCCTATGTGTGCAAAATCCCAGGCTGCACCAAGCGCTACACAGACCCAAGTTCCCTCCGGAAACATGTGAAGACCGTGCATGGCCCAGAGGCTCATGTCACCAAGAAGCAGCGTGGGGACATACATCCTCGGCCCCCCCCACCCCGAGATTCGGGCAGCCATTCACAGTCCAGGTCGCCTGGCCGGCAGACTCAGGGAGCCCTTGGGGAGCAGAAGGACCTCAGCAACACTACCTCAAAGCGGGAAGAATGCCTCCAAGTGAAAGCCGTCAAGGCCGAGAAGCCCATGGTATGTCATTCACTTTCCTTCTGCTGGTCCCCAGGCCATCCTAGGGAATTTTTTTAAAAGTCAGCTAGGGCGGAAGGAGGGATGTGACCACCCAGGTCCTCACTGCACTGGGCTCTCTGATTGAAGAGGTCAGGAGCTCAGAGACCTGGATTTCTTACTTAAAGGTTGATTGGCATAGAGTAACTCTGAACAGAGCATCCAGGTTTGCTAACTGGTCTGCAAAATCAACCGAGAGGCTTACCCTTCGTGGCAGGTTAGAAAGGCATGACTGTCTACATTTTCAGGAGCCCTGTGATATAAATCAGCCATCCCTTTTTTTCTGCAGACGTGTCTTTTGTTTTGTGCTTTGCCCTGGTCACCCTGAGATAAATAAGCCATGGTCCCTGTTCTTTAGGCGTTTACAGTCCGGTGGGATAGGCAGACAGCCAAAAAGCAGACACTTGGAACTCAGTGTGATGGGTCTTTAACACAAGTCTGTGTGAGAGCATTCAAGAGGGGGAGCAAACCCCCAGCACACTTGAGGATGTGACAGGGTGAGGCAGGGGTGGTAGCCCTGAAGTTTAACCCTCAGAGACGGGAAGGTGCAGGTCCTGGCATTGCAGCCGGAGCCTGAGCTGCAGCACGTCCTGGCATTGCAGCATTGCAGCCAGATGCAGCCCTACATCCCAGCAGGTTGTGCAGGAGTCGGAGTAAAAAGGAGTCAGGATTTAAAAAAAAAAAAAAAAAAGGTTATATTTAACTGGTGATGGCAAATGACATGGCACGGCTGATTTAGAGAAAAGCCCACTCCGTGCGCGTGCCAGGCCGGGGATTGGCTGCCTAGACTAGAGACCATTTCTGCAGTGGAACAAGAAGCAAGGAGGTGAAGAACAAGGGAAGCATTTGAAAGGTGTCATCAGGAGAAATCATCCTAGTTTGGTGACTTCTCAGTAGTCACCAGACTGATAATATGGATCATGCTCCTGTGGCAGCTTCTTTCTCACTTCCACTGGTGACTCTTTGTTATGTACGTGCCAGACTAAAAACATCCAAAACTTTAAGAAAGACAACAAGAAAAATGAAAAGAGTAGCAGTCGGAAGAGATCCAGCACGTCTGTCTTAGACAACGTGCGTCACGGAGTCAGCTCCGCGGATGTGCCGGGTTCTGGTCTTCCACTCTGCAAGTGGAGGGAAGTGTACCAGAGAGAAGCCATGTGCTTGGATTTCCAGATGCATGGATGTGGTCAGGCAGACGGATCTGTACTCCGTTTCAGGAAGCTTCTTCTTAAAAGTAGAAAAGTCCAGCAGTTGGACAGACGTCCTGCGGGCTCCTGAGTGATGTCGCCACGCGGCAGTACGTGTGGCCAGGAAGTGATGCACGCATACAACCCCAGGGCTGACCGAGTGGAATCCAATGATTGGGTGAATTTTAATGACTTGCTGAGTTTAAGAGTTTGAGAAAGTGACATTAAGTCTAGCCCCCAATAATACAAGTAAGCTACCCAGATTCATCGTTACGTCCCAGTGCGTAGCTGTATTTTGCTTTTCAAAAGCACCTTAGTCAAAATATAATAAAAATAAAAAGCACCTTAGTCAAAAGTTGATGCATGTGTTATGACTCACCACCATATTTCCAGCGTTAATCAGCTTGTAAGTGCTGTTCCACATACTTTTTGGGGGGGAACCACATATCAGTCTCCTCAAAATCCAACTGTACAACGTGCCGGACATTCAACAATTTATCCTCAAGTGTTTAAGAAGCAAGGAGAATGAATTTGTGGTCTCCTAGATTATGTCATCAAAAGACAATGATTTATGTCCTTGGGACATCCCAAGGACCCAGAGTCTCTTGTACCTTTAAGGTACATCCCTTAGCTCAAGAAAACTTGTCATCTCCTTTCCATTATTTAAAAGGAAAATTGATAGAAATAAGGGCATATGGTTATTTGGCTCAGTGACATCCGAGATGCCCCAAGATGTGAACTATATTATAAAGTAATGAAATCATAGAAATGTGGGCTGGAAGGGTTCATGGAGATTGAGATGAGGCTCCATGTTTCATAGGTAAGGCTAATCAATTAATCAAATTCCCTACGGGGGCTATTTTGTCTGTATATGTCCATGAATCCATGTAAATATAAGCAGATGGCCTCATGGACCTTGACTAATGCGTATGAGATTTTACATTTCTAATATTCTTTCTTTTAAAACGTGTCTTTGATCATCGTGCTATGAATTAAATTCTTTCTTCTTTTTTTTTTTCCTTATTAATTCCACATCTCTTCTGTGTAATGCTCCTAAATGTCTTGTTCTCACTTCCTAAGGACAGTGGGTAATAAGGTGAGGGAATTTCAGCTTCTCTGCCCTTTTTGTTTTGTGTTCATTTTAACATTCAACTTCTATGCATTTGATTTCGCTGTAGTTTTCGTGCTTCTGTGACTATCTTTGGTAGTGAACATTACTCGGCTGTGCTTCGAACATAGAAGCAATGTGTTTTGAACATCCAGCATGTGGAAATGTGCGGTTAGATGGTGGAAGTCATTGTTCTGTTTGTCTAGGTTTTCATAACAAATCACGGACCTGCCGACCAAGCAGATGTTCCCCGAGCCTATTTAATTATCAAATTGACACATGTAAATTCACTCTTGGACCAGACGGGTACCTCTCTTCTTTGAGGACGACCGATCTGGATACATTTGTCGTCAGCAATTTAATCTGTAGTTCAGTGTCTGAGCTCCTCTGAGCAGCCCTCGTCATGAGTGCGTTCGCGCCTCCTCCTGTGCCCCGTGCAAGCGTGAGTCCGCGGTGCGTGCAAACACACACAGAGTCACACGCACACGCCGGTTGCTGACAGTCCCACAGTGAAGGACCTCCAAAGCCCCGCATGCTCTGAGGAGCTGGGGACGGAGCACGTGGCCTGGCCCACCACCGTTGTGCTGAAGCGTAACCCGAGCAAGACTTCACGAGCTCCGCAATCCAATTTGTGTCTCTTACTTTGCTCTGCTTGGTTGCCCAGGACAAACTTAGCGTGTCACGTGATACTCACTTAGAAAAGTGTGCATTTGCTTGGGTGTGTGTACTGTGGTGGCAGAACGAGTGTGACGGGTTCCACCGGGAGCCTTCCGCGTAGAACCCTGGGCGGCCCACCTGGGAGTCTTGTAGCGGAGTCTGTGTGGCTCTCTCGCCCTGGAGGATTTGCTCTTGGGGCTGCCGTCAGGCTCTAGTTTTTAGAGGAACGCTAGAGAAGGCTCTGCGGAGAGATGGAAGGAGCGCTGGGCTGGGAGTCCAGGCTGGTCGTACCACTGACTTCGTTGACTTTGTGACTTGGGGCAGTCGCTGAGCTTCTCTGAACGTCACTTTTCTTATCCCCGCCCAAGGGGTCATACTGTTCTCCAACCGGGACACGGGTGGAAGTTTGGATAGAGTGCAGACTGCTCATGGAGGGCCATTTGATATGGTGCCCCCTGCCCCAGCCCGGAGGACAACCAGCTCTCCGCACCCCCATCATCTCCGGGAGCCTCAGGGGCGGGTGGTCCTTTCCCTGATTGAGAACCGGTGCACTGGGTCCAGTTCCTGACTAGTTGCAGAACTGGCTTGTGTAGGCCACACGGTTGTGGCACTTGGGAAACGTTGCCTGATTCTCCCAGAGAAACGCCAGGGCACTCTAGGGGCAGCGATAAGGCTCCTCCCTGGACTCGGATGGCTGTAGCTTGCAGCCTTTCTTCCGCGCTGGGTACAGCAGAAGCCAGGCGATGGAAGCTTTGCCTCTTACGGCTGCCTTTCCCCCTGCCTGGTCGGGGTCCCTCGGAGCAGGCAGGTGTAGACGGAGGGGGAGAGGTTACAGAGAGCTTGGGGGGCCAGCCCTGAGCAGCTCAGAGAGGGAGCGTGGAGAGCAGGAGAGCAGGAGCGTGTGCCCGGCCACACATCCCCCACGCACGCTGTAGCCAAGCCGAGCGGGCCCACGGGCCAAAGCCACACGGGATGATGGGAACCGCTAATGCTCTCGGAGCCCCTCAGTACCCGTTTCCCACATCTTTCCGTATTGCCTGTGCTCTCTGGGCCTCACGCTAAGTCCCACCACAATCCCGAAGAGAAGTTAGTGGGCCCCACTTTGTAGATAAGGAAACTGAGGTTTCGAGTGACTGAGCGTTTTACCCAAAGGATCAAGTCAAGTGGTGCAAGTGGGGTTGGGCCCGAGGAGCCAGTGGGCAGAGCTGGCACCTGGGGCAGGACTCCGGGGCTGAGGTCGCGCCCATCACCCCCACCCCATTCAGCACGCCCCACTTCCATCTGCCTCCGCTGCACATCCACCCGACATCCCATCAGTCGCTGTGGCCGAGCGAGGCCGCCCCCATTCACCGGCACCCAGTTCCCCTCACTTGACCCCCTGGGCCCCCCGCGGGTCTGGGTCGGCTCCCTGTCCTCCTTCCTTCCCGGTGACAGCTCTTTCGTTTGCTCTCGACCCCAGCAGACATCTCAGCCAAGCCCTGGTGGTGAGTCTTCATGCAGCAGCCAACAGTCCCCCATCAGCAACTATTCCAACAGTGGGCTCGAGCTTCCTCTGACCGACGGAGGTGGCGTGGGAGACCTCGGGACCATCGACGAAACCCCAATCATGGACTCGACCATTTCCACCGCAACCACCGCCCTCGCCTTGCAAGCCAGGAGGAACCCGGCAGGGGCCAAATGGATGGAGCACGTGAAACTAGAAAGGCTCAAACAAGTAAATGGAATGCTTCCACGACTGAACCCCGTTCTTCCCCCCAAAGCCCCTGCAGTCTCTCCTCTCATAGGAAACGGTGAGTCCCGTGCCCACCTCCTGCCCGCTCTGGCCTTCCTGCCCTGCCCCGTGCCCCCGAACCGCTAAGACGGACCAGGCTTGCTGTGGGCCGCTGTGTCCTCCGGTCCTAAAATGATGCTGTCACCGTACACGTCGGTGTTGCCTTTGTGGGGACGCCGTTGTTTAGAAGCAGGTAGTAAGGGGAGAGCCCTGGCACGGAGGGTGGGGCGCAGCGTGCCAACGCCGCGTGTAACTCGTGTTCCGAGGATGCGCTTGTAACTGTGGGGCCGTGGTGCAGAAGTCCCCCCTCCCCACGTGGACATTGGGGGTCGGCACTGCCGTCTGCTTTCTGGTCTACACCTGGGAGGTCAGCAGCCACTTTGGCTGATGTTTTCCCAGTTCAAGGAAGGCCAAGCAGCCTCTCGCATTGGCAGCCCCACATCGGGTTTCCTTCTGGGATCACCCTGAGTACCACCTGGAGCACATGTAAGGGTGAAGCTCCCCACCCACCAACCCGGGCGTGCTCCACTCTCACAGGGTGTCGGAGGAAGGCCTCGGGGAGACAGGACACTCCTGGAACGCCTCTGGCCTTGTCCTTGCCTGTCCAGGAGCGCCGTGTCCGTCCCGGGCCTCCTCCCGATGCCCTGGCCCTGCGCCCGAGAAGGAGCTTTAGTGATGCAGGCTGCTCGGACTATTTCGTTTAAGCCAGGAGGTCTGCAAACGTCCCCGCCGCCTCGTAACTGAAGGTTCTAGGTGCGCAGCCGCATCCACTCTGTCACCGTGACCCGGGGCCCTTGGGTGGCTGGGGCAGACGCCGCGTGGCCCAGGGGACACCGGCCCTGACTTCCCGCAGGCCCTGGGCACGGCCCCTTGTGCGTCCTCCCCAAACGATCGCCCGTCTCCCCCCTTCTCTGCAGGCACTCAGCCCAGCACCAGCTGCAGTTTGGGCGGGCCCATGACCCTCCTCCCGAACAGGAGCGACCTCTCCGGGGTGGACATCACCATGCTGAACATGCTCAACCGGAGGGACAGCAGCGCCAGCACCATCAGCTCCGCCTACCTGAGCAGCCGCCGCTCCTCGGGCATCTCCCCCTGCTTTTCCAGCCGCCGGTCCAGCGAGGCGTCCCAGGCCGAGGGCCGGCCCCAGAACGTGAGCGTGGCCGACTCCTACGACCCCATCTCCACCGACGCGTCGCGCAGGTCCAGCGAGGCGAGCCAGGGCGACGGGCTGCCCAGCCTGCTCAGCCTCACGCCGGCGCAGCAGTACCGCCTGAAGGCCAAGTACGCGGCGGCCACGGGCGGGCCGCCCCCCACCCCGCTGCCCAACATGGAGAGGATGAGCCTCAAGACCAGGATGGCCCTGCTCGGGGACGCCCGGGAGCCCGCGGGGGCCCTGCCGCCCGTGCCCCCTCCGCGGCGGTGCAGCGACGGCGGCGCCCACGGCTACGGCCGCCGCCCCCTGCTGCCCCTGGACGCGCTGGGCAACGGCGTGCGCAGGGCCAGCGACCCGGTGCGGACGGCGTCCGACGGCCTCTCCCTGCCCCGCGTGCAGCGCTTCAGCAGCCTTCACAGCTTCAACCCGCCCGGGCCGCCTCCCACCCTGGAGAAGCGGCACCTGGTGCTTCAGAATTACACGCGGCCCGATGGCGGCCAGCCCCGCCACTTCCCGCCGTCCCCCTGTCCGCCGAGCATCACCGAGAACGTCACCCTGGAGGCCCTGACCATGGACGCCGACGTGAGCCTCACCGATGAGGACTTCCTGCCCGACGACGTGGTGCAGTATCTGAATTCCCAGAACCCGGCTGGGTACGAGCAGCCCTTCCAGAGCGCCGTCGCCGAGGACAGCAAAGCGCCCCACGGGCCCGGCGACTTCGACGGCCCGGGGCTGCCGGACGGCCACGCGGGCCACGTGGGCCACCCGGGCCCCGCCGGCCAGCCGTACCGCCCGCTGGAGCAGCCGTGCCCCGAAGCCAGCAAAGCCGACCTGCCCATTCAGTGGAACGAAGTGAGCTCCGGCAGCGCCGACCTGTGCTCCTCCAAGCTCAAGTGTGGCCAGCGGCCGGCGGCGCAGCAGGCCCGGGCCTTCGGCTTCTACGGCAACGTGGGCGCCCCCCCGCAGCCTGCCTTGCGGAGCGGGCCCGGCCCCGCCGGCGCCTATGCCCCCCTGGCCGAGCCCGGCCCGGCCTACGGCGGCCCCGAGCCCTTGGCGGGCCACAGTGCTGGAGCGGGCAGCCCCGGAGACGCTTTCCATGAACAGCCCTGCAAGGCCCCGCAGTTCGGGAGCTGCCTGGGCAGGCAGCCTGGCGCCCCCGGCCCCCTCGACGGCGGCTGCGCTGCGGCGGCGAAGCTCAAGAGCAGCACGGGGCCCGGGGGCCAGCCCGACTTTGGCCTGCCGCCGGTGCCCGGCGAGTCAGCGGGCGGCACCGGGAGCGGCCTGGCCACCCAAGACCTGGCAGGACAGGGGTACCTGGCCCATCCGCTGCTCCACGACGGCGTGCCCCACCAAGGGGCGGGCCGCACAGGCCAGCAGATGCTAGGGCAGGTTAGCGCTACCTCACACGTCAACGTCTATCTGGGGCCGGAGGGCGGCCTGCCAGGGCCACCGTGCGTCAGCGGCCAGCCCGCCGGCTTGGCGGCCACCCGGGGCTACCAGCCGTGTGCAGCCTACGGGGGCGGCAGGCGCCAGGCTGTGCCGAGGAGCAGCCTCGCTCTGCAGCAGGCACAGCTCGGTGACCCAAGTCTGACCTGCAGGGTGAACGGCATCAAGGTGGAGATGCAGGGGCAGCCCCATCAGCTCTGTTCGAACACGCAGAGTTACTCTGGTCAGTTCTATGACCAAACCGTTGGCTTCAGTCAGCAAGACATGAAAACTGGTTCATTCTCCATTTCAGAAGCCAGCTGCCTGCTACAGGGGGCCAGCGCCGAGAACTCTGAATTACTTTCCCCAGGTGCTAACCAGGTGACGAGCACGGTTGACAGCCTCGACAGCCATGACCTGGAAGGGGTGCAGATCGATTTTGATGCCATCATAGATGACGGGGACCACGCCAGCCTGATGTCAGGAGCCCTGAGTCCCAGTATCATCCAGAACCTCTCCCATAGCTCCTCCCGCCTCACGACACCCCGCGCGTCCCTCCCACTGCCCGCGCTGTCCGTGAGCACCACCAACATGGCCATCGGGGACATGAGCTCCCTGCTGACCTCCCTGGCGGAAGAAAGCAAGTTCCTTGCAGTGATGCAGTAGACGTTAGGGGAAAGGCTGCCAACCAACGTGAAACTTTAGGGGTTTAAACAAAGATTAAACGGACTCAGTTTTTTGCCGGTTTGTTTTTTGTTTTTCATTTTTGTTTTTTTGTTTTTTGTTTTTTTTTTTTTAGTTCTGTATGTATTTTAGCAATCTCATCTCACCTGACTGGGATGTGTTTCAAGTATCTTCCTTTTATGGAAAAGGACTCTGAACAACCCTAAAGTATTCTAGGGAGAAACTGTCTTCCATTTCAGTTTTGAATCAGTATTGTTACACTCGAACCATCCTCTTTTTTTTTTTTTTTTGTAACTGTAAGCCCACTCCCCACCCCCTTTTTAGTAAACCAGTGTAAATGTGTGATGTGCATGTTCTTCTTTTCGAAGAGAGGTCAAACGAGAGGATTTGACATGTTTCTCTGTTACTCCAAGGAAACAGGAGTTGGTGTGCTTTTGACCAAGGGGTTGCGCTTCCAGCTTTTTAAATTTCCCTTTACGTGTTTCTTTTTGTTCTTTGTTTTCTTCGGTGTTTGTGTTTGTTTTTGTTTTTGTTTTAATTCCCACATTGGGCACAAGAATCAGAATATGGATAGTGAGTTTAAGAATCCTTCGTGGGTGTGCCGTAGCAGACATAACCGATTGTTGACGCACTCCCCACCCCAGTTCAGGTTAGGGCATGCTTTCGATGGTGGCACGCAAGCAGGAATTTGGGGCTCTGGCGGATGAACACTAGTTTGCTCACGGTTGGGGTTTAGAATTCCTCCTGTCCGTCGGTGCACTCGGGGCAGGTCCGTCTATGTGCTCATTTCTCAGTTATCCACCTTGCTTCTCCTCCCCGTGTCTCCACGACCGTTCCGTGTCGCTCTGTGCTCCGGGGGCAGAGAGGGGCAGGGTGGTGGGTCTGCTACTTCCATCTATTCTGGCAAGACAAGAAGTTAGGTAGATTGTAGAGTGAAGCTACTGCGTAGAAATAGTTTGGGGAACATTTGTGGGTTTGCTGTATGTGTTGATTATAGTTCCATCTCTTTACCCATTATCCTAGATAACTGAGAATTGATTATATATAGTTCTAAGTATAGAGGTATTTAAACGACCCCACAGCCGACTATTTCATTAACATATATTAATTCCACTATAGTGAAGGAGCATTTCTATTCTAAGTGCCCTATTTTGAGGGATTTATAAAACTTCGTTGTAAAAGAAAAAGCTCACATACAATGACGTTTGGAATAAATCGCTTTAACCGTTGTTAGTATTTGAGAGCGCTAGGAGGATGGTGAGTAGCTGTGTGGATGCGTGCTCTTACACCCCGTCTATGAAACGACGCATCCATTTAAGAGGTTAAATGTTCTATGCAGTTGGTCCTTAATGTGGACTTCATGTATCCTTCTGTTTTGGATTAAAACATTTAAAGACTAAAAAGTGCAGCTACTTGCCATGTGCAGCCGATACACATAAAAGACATACTATGTGTGTACAGAGTACATGGATTATCCAGCATTTTACACTTAAAAATATGTAAACTATTAAAAATAAAATATTAACACCTCAGACTACCTGCTCTTTTGTGTCCCATTGACCCCGGAAGTGGGATTTAATCCAAAGTGATTGACGAGTCAGTCGTGTGGCTTTTTCCCTTTCTTCCTGCCATTTAAATTAGTAATAGACGAAGTCAAGTAAAGTAAAGCATTAGATAATAGGAAATAAGGTTAGAATCAGCCCATTTTTCTCACACTCATGATCTCTCATTTGGACCAAGAATCTAAGCATGGAGGTAAATTTAAATTTGCCCTTTGGGACTTTGTGGCTAAGAAGGTTGGGTTTGCTTTCAGGTGTCCCTGAAATCGTTGGAGGGGCGCTGAGGCTGCTGCCTCCACCCCTCCCCTACCCCCACATCCAGCACCTGCCTTGACGTCCAAGGATGCGTCTGCTTGGGAACAGAGCCCAGAAGCAAGAGACGGCTCCCGATCGGAGCTGGGTGGAGTTGAGTCTACTTCCAACAGAACAGAGCCAGGCTTTTTCTGAGTTCCTCAAACGGGTAGTGACCCGGTCACAAAATCAGTGGTCCCTTCCCTGAAGCTCCTTTTTCTGCAAACGTCAGAATCTCTACGCCCGGATGTCATCTTCCATGCTGTTGTGGTTTGGCCCGACCCTGTCCTCCTCCGTTTCAAAGCTTGGGACCTGGGCCTTCTCCAGCCTCCTGGGTGAGGACAGCGGCCCTCCTCCCTCAGAGTCCATCCCGGGGCAAAAGTGCCGGATGTGACCTGCATTTCTCCGTTGCCATGAGTTCCTGCCTCGTCTGCCCTTCATGGAAGGACGGCCGGCAGCTGGGTGAGGACTCTTGTCATCCCATGCCTCTGCTTTGCCCTGTGGTTCCAGATGATTCTCTTGTGTTGCTCCCTTTCTTCACCGTTTCATACTTGGTTTCCTTCCTCTCGCCTTTAGATTTGCAGAGAGACTCCTACTTCAGCACAGTCTTTGTGTCTCTCTATGGAAATCTCAGAAAGATGGAGAAGGGGGAGAGGGAGAAAGGAAGTATACGTTTATACTTTTCCAGGAGTGCCAGGCAGTGTCCTGACAGTTAGTGGAAGGAGGGTCTGCTGGGCCACTTAGAAGCCCTCCGTCTGCTTGCACACGTGCCATTCTCCTCGGGCAGGACTGCCCCACAGCTCCCAGCCTTCTCTCCCCCGTGTCAGGGAGACAGCAGCAACTCACTAGTGTCACATCCTACCTTTCAGTGCAGGCTCGTACATGGTACTCCTCTTGAACATCCATGTTAACCATGTTTTTGATTTGTTAAGCCATTCACTTTGTCTTCCTTTCTAAAGAGCTGATGAGACTGCCCCGGCTCCTCCTACGTTGGCTCGTCCTCTTGAGCCACAGAGTTGTGATTCTTGCGATGTATGTGCCTTATTTTATGTTAATCTTGTTGATGCGAGGGACCAGTCGGTGATGCCCGGTCGGAGCTCGAGGCGGCATGCTCCCCGGCCGGCCAAGCGCACACGATGGTAGCAGAGTCTGAGCTGTCTTGTAACCTGGTTTCCCGTGTTGTTTTGAACTGATGGAGGATGTTCTCTCTGACAAGTTAATGTTGTGTATCCTGCCAACGTGTAAAATAAAATGCAAGTTCATTTTTTTCACCTTTTTTAGATTTTTAAAAAAATAAAATGTGTAATCCTTTTTTAAAAGAAACACATGTAAATACATTTAAGTATTGTAGGCATAGTGTTCAGATGTGGCCGGCCCTGGGCCTTCTCGGATCAGCCTGCAGCCGTGCGACGCCCCCCTGCCCACCTCATGCCCAGGGCCGCAGTCCTGCCACACGAGGACTCTACTTTTGCTTTTCAGAACCACCTAGTCCTTTTGTAACAAAAAGAAAGAACGATGTTTCTTACAATGTCAATAAAAAAACGCTTTGTACTGAAATGGTTATGGGGTTGTTTATTTGATCCGTAGCTGAACGGAACCATGCTTCCTCAGGAAAAATCCAGAGCTTGCGTTTGGACTCAGACACCCCGCCCCTGCCCCCCTACAAACTGAGTGCACTTCTGCCCTGAGACTCAGATTCCTCATCCCCACGACTGAGCATCTAAGACGCTGGTGTCCTCCACTAGTGGTGACGTCAGGGCATGTCCCTGGGAGACACACCAGTTGTAACCATCATTGTTTTTCTTAATTTTATCACATTGCCAAACTCCAGAGAGGGAGTACGAAAGTGGTTCAATGTCTTAACGACTGGGTTTGTTTCTCTTCTATAAATCCTCTTCTCTTTCCAAAGGATGTAGGACATAATACAGGTTAGAAAACTTGATATGGTGGAGACCTACTTTAATTAGTGGCTTTTAATAACTCACTTCAGACAGAAATGTAAGCTATGTCTCTAATTTGTCTTTTCTTCTATATTGTTTTCAATACCTTCTCCAGAGCACCATCAAAGCCTCCACAGGATCCTCTTCCTCTTTCTGAGTAGCAGCCAGCCTCGGGCCCTGGTGTTAGCACCCCAGGCTTCCCTGGGCATACGCTTGCAGGTACACCAGCAAGTCCCTTGGAGGGCGGGGACTCCCCTCCTGTGGGTGATGAGTGCGTCCTCCCTGCAGGGATCCTGCAGCACAGGGATGCTTTATGCTTTCCCAACTCACCAGGGAGGACTCACCCTCATAAATCCAATGGGCTCCTTTGCTTTCATAACTAAAGCCCTCACCTAAGGCATCCGAATGAATTCAGAAAGAAGAAGGGAAAAAATGAATTTATTCTCTATCTTGGGTATAAGTTGTCAGCTTAGGAAGATGTACTCCGCGTGCTAAGTCAGAGTCCAACGAGGAAAATGAGCTTATGGAAAGGACAGGAGGAAAGGGGCCGCGGGGAAGGGTGCGCAGGCCACGGACGCGGGTCATGGGAGCGGACGGACAGGTGCGGCTCGCAGCTTCATTTAAAACACACGTCCCGAGGAGCAGACCCAGGGCTGGAGGGAAACGGACGTGCGGCCCCCTCGGCATTTCACAAAGGCTTAAGTAGTTTGGGGAACTCGAAGATGTTCTCTAGTCCCCAAAGGAGACCTTCGAAGGAGAATGCTAGGATGGGTGGAAAACGAATCTGCTGCCAAAATACCTGAGTCCTTGTCTCCTCCACTGTTCTTTTCTTGGCCATTTTCCCCCTTTAGTTTTACTTCTAACACGTTTACTATTCCAGACAATCTGGGCTCATCTTTCTGGCAATACTAGCTTTTATTGTTTTGTTTTGTGTTTTTTTTTTTTTCTTAAATCTCATTCTGCCAATGTAGACCTAGATTACTCTTCCTCTACCTAGTTATTCAACTCTTTGTATTCGTTTAGAAATAGTCATTGAGAGGCGCCTGGATGGCTCAGCGGTTGGGGAGTCTACCTTCAGCCCAGGGTGAGATCCCGGGGTTCTGGGATCGAGTCCCACATCGGGCTCCCTGCATGGAGCCTGCTTCTCCCTCTGCCTGTGTCTCTGCCTCTCCCTGTGTCTCTCATGAATAAATAAATAAAATCTTAAAAAAAAAAATCCAGGTAGGTCAAGTAAAACACCGCCCTCCCCCCCCCCCCAGGTGCCCAGAGCCTGGGAGCAGAAAGCAGGTGGCAGCGGCTGAGGATCAAACAGCGGTGTTACAAAGGGGGCTCGTGGCCTCTTCTGAGTGGCGCCACATTTCATCACATCCACGGTGCCAGCGACCGGGGACACGTCCCTCTGTGTGGCCACCAGGAGAGAGAAGGCGCTGCAGTTAAGCTGTGACCTGATGCTTCCCCTCCTCCAGGCGGCTCCTTCACTTAGTGGTGTTACTGACCTAAAACAGACGGGGAGGGAGATGGGGGGAAGGAGGGGGACGGAGCAGGAGAGAGGGAGGGAGACGGGGTGGAGGGGAGGGAAATGTGGGGGGAGATGGGGGAGATGGGGGAGGAGGAGATGGGGCAGATGGGGAGATGGGGGGGAGATGGGGAGATGGGGAGATGGGAGATGGAGGGAGGGAGATGGGGGGAGGGAGGGAGATGGGAGGGAGATGCGGTGGGGGGGAGGGAGGGAGACGAGGGGAGAGATGGGGCGAGAGGGAAGGAGGGAGACGGGGGAGGGAAAGAGGGAAGAACCATCACAAGAAAAGCCCTCCTTCCCACCTCCTTTCCTCCCCCCTGTCTCCCTCCTTCTTTCCCCCTCCATCCCCCTCCCTCCCCTCCATCATACAGGATGCCTGTGTTCATCCCCTAGTAGGACAGAGGCCGCGAGGGGAGGCGGTTGCTGCCACAGGAACATGTAGTATAACATAGAGTATAACACCCAGGGCTCATCCCACCAAGTGCCCCCTCAGTGCCGTCACCCAGTGCAGGCTCCCCACGGTCACCTGGTTACCTGGGCTTGCGGCCTGCCCCAGCTCTGCAGGCCACGGTTCACCCCACCCAGGGGCTTCTGGTGCTCCCTGTGCTTCAGCCTTCCCAGGCCTTGGCAGCGAGACGTGAGAGGGCAGCAGCAGCCCTGCAGGGCAGGCCAGCCCCCACCGCCACCCCCCACCCACCCCCGGGGGGCCTCCTGGGAGATGGGGCCTGCTGCCCATGTGGTTCAACAAGTCCAGGCTTGGGGTTGGGAGGGGGCAGCGCTGGACTGGCTTTGCTCTTCCCGCACCCCTCACATCTAATCGGGATGCTGGCTCAAGCTCCATCTAGAAGATTCCCTGGTCACTCCGGGTAGAGGCAGCTAGAACACTATCCTGTCTCTGCTCTTGAAAAAAATCTAGCCTTGACAAGTGTGGCTCTGATCCCCACGGCAAAAGGGATATTGCAGGGGTCACCTCCCTCTTTGCTCTCCAACTGGAATCTTTGAAATAAAACCTCAGATCCGCACTTGGTGGGACTTAGAACCCAGTGCAGCCCCCCTGCTGCCCGGCTGTTGCCCTGACTGAGCAGCTGGCGAGCTCACGCCAGCCAGGTCCCGGTGGCTGCAGGGGCTGCAGGAAGAGAACCCAGGGGTCCGCTCCTTTGCTCAGCCTACCTGCCGGCCCTCCCCTCCTGCAAGGGCCTCAGGGGGAGGGGGAGAGAAAGCCCCCACCACCACCTCCGGGTGAGCCGCCAGCAGCCTGGCGCGTCCAGAATCCTGCAGGGCCCCTGATCGGCCGCCAAGCCTCCTTTTGCTCAGAAGTTCTAGGGCCCCACGTGATCCCTGCGAAGTTGGGCTGCAGATCCCCCCAGCCCGTGGGGCTTGGAAGGGCCAAATGCACTGCGGAGGTGTGATTCACTGTGCTCCCAGAGGAAAGGGAGGCAGCCAGCTGGCAGAGGATTACTGAACAGCCAGGCCAAGGAATTCCATTGCTGTTTGGATGGAGACAAGCAGCGAGCTTCCTCCCTCCTCCTCCCTCCTCCCCCCTCCTCCTCCCTTGCTGAGGCGCAGAGGTGGAAGCAAGCCAGGGCCCAGGGCCGGGGGGCAGAAGGGAAGGAACCAAGCAGCTTCCCTGGCCGGCAGGATAAGGGTCTGCAGCCATGTCCCTAGCGAGTCAAGGCAAGAAATATCCACATTTTCATTTGAGGGTAATTCTGACACCCCCAAATGTTTACCCAAAACATGCCTAGACACATGGCCCAGAGGCAATTTTTTTAAAGATTTTTTTATTCATGAGAGACACAGAGAGAGAGAGGCAGAGACCCAGGCAGAGGGATGTGGGACTCAATCCCAGGACCCCAGGGATCACGACCTGAGCAGAAGGTAGATGCTCAACCACTGAGCCACCCAGGGCCCTTCCCAGATGCGATTTTTAAAAAGCAGAGAACTTGGTAGACAGGAAAAATCACATTGGCTAACAGATGAATGGAAAAGTCCAGCATCACAGCTCGAGGATCGTCCACAGTCTCCTGAACAAGAGACCACTTGCCCCTGGACCCATCTCAGGCTCCCTGGCCGGCTGTCCATTCCGGATCCATCGACCCTGCTGTTCTTAGGAAACTGGCTTCTCCATGAACCCAGGCCTCTGGATGCCTCCCATTCGACCTGCATCCTTCCAAAGATGAAGTCATGAAACATCATGATAAATATTTCCCCTGAAGTTCATGCAAAGAACATGGAGTTCCGTGTTCCCGGGGAGGCTTCCTCCCCTTCCCCCTTGAGCTTGGCTAAAGGTGTCACTTGAGTCCAGGGGACAGGGAGCCCGTGATCCTCTGTCACCCAGCTCTGCCCCATGGAGAGTGCTACCGAGCGTCACTGTCTCTTGCCTCTCCGAGGGGTTGGGAGGACGAAACAGGGCTCCGTTGACCTCCAAGACAATGGGTTGCCTTCAGCCGGCGAGTCTTCCCTCGCCCTGTGGTTGTAGACGAGTTAATATGGCTTCCCACCCCACAGCTTCCAGCATGGCGGCCATCCAGCAAGCTTGAAATGGGTTCTGAGGCGGCTGTAACTCAACTGGATGTAAGAGCCAAGAGGAAGGTTTATGAAAATAAGCTGATTTTAATCCGTCCTTGCTGGCCCTGGGCACTCGAATTCTGGCTTCATTCAGACCTAGGGTTTCCCCTTGAGAGGAGCGTAAAGTGGGTGAAGGGAAGGGATGTCCCCCACCATCCCGAGCTGGTGTCCTGGGATTCGGCGCAGGCCTCTCCGCCTGGACGGAGGGCAGGTCCCATGAGGTAAGAGCTCTGTCTTCTACAAGACTGCTTCTGCTCCAGAAGCCAGCCACAAGTTGGGGGTTCCCCAGGCCTCCTTGGCTCTGATCAACTGACTATGAATCCAGGGGTTCCTGTAACCCCTCAGGTCAATACTTTTCTAGAATGAATCCCAAATATTTCTCTTAGTTTCATTGTGAAGGGTACAACTCAACAGCCAGCCGAGCGAATGCATGAACAGGGGGCAAGGTCTGGGAGGATCTTGAACTCAGAGCTTCTCTGCCTGGTGCTCTCAGGGAGGGCCTGTCACCCTCAGGGCACGTCAGT